GGACTATTTGTAAAATCAAGCAATTTTGATGAATATTTGTTCAGTGTTGGCTCCCATTTGAAACTGGAAGTGTAAGGAAGCATTTAAGGATTTGAATCAAGTTGGCAAGGAGCAGAAACCATTTGGGCACTTTATTGAAATGTACCAAGTTAGCAGAGATGGTGATGGCCTCTTCAAGGCTGTAGCATTTGAGATGAACACAGACTCTGAAATTAGATGTTTTCTATTCAGAGATACCAATGTGTAAGTGCATTGCTTGTGCACTTGTGTAGCAGCACCTTCTATTCCCTCAATGTCCTTGCATATTCTTAGGATTCTTAGGTGGTGTAATGCTTTTGGGTTTTTTTGTTTGTCTTTGGTGGGACTTCATGGGTTTCTTGAAATTATTTTAAGTTCAGTTGGTGGATAATTTTGTTTGTTGTTGGTTATTTTTTTTTTTGAGATCTGTTTTCCGAGTTTTTCTTGGTTTTAAAGGTGAAAAATTGAAATAAATTTAAATCTTAAAATTCTAACAGGAAAATTTTAGTTTCAATTAAGGAAAAAACTCTTCCACATAAACCCCACAACAACCTACATCCTACTATGTTAAAAATAGGAATTCAGTTGTTAGTTGCCCCAGTGTGCATTTTTTAAATTCCTCTCTTGAAATCCATGATTTCTCTGGATTGTTCCCTCCACTTTGATTTATTCAAACAGAAAATCTTTAACGCGTAGCGTTTAAAATGTTTCCATTTGTAGGATGGAAATGCTCCAATATATCTTTGGTATTTATATGTATATGTATTTTTGCATTTAGTCTTCACATTCCTGTCAGACACCAAGACGTTTCTGTCAAAACATTTGCTATTGCATTAAAAGAATCCGTTGAGGCCATGCGAGTCACAGAAGCAGATAATTCTCAAGTTTTACTAATTGTAGATTCAGTGGTGGTTTTACTGTTACAGTTTTCCATTACTATGATGCAAGAGAATGACAGTCTCCTTTTGTGTATTTTTAGGTGACATACTTCAAGGGTAAGCTACATGAGAAGAAAGAAGTTAGGATGCCTCATTTATAATTATATATGTTTCTATCTCTTTTACCTGTCCATGGTATTACACTGCATATACTTGGTGATTTGTGTGTATTCATTCCTGACCACATGCTAGAAGGAGCAGCACGTTCTTGATTTGTCCTTTTATTATGGATTTAAATTGTTCCAGTTTTGAGCAAGTCTGTAAAATTCTAAAAACAGTCACAGTGTAAACTGTAAAATTACATCTGTGAAGATTATTTTATACAAGGTATATATATAATACTTCATATATATAGTGCTTCATTAGTGGTCAGTGCGTAGTTTAATATAGAATTTGATAAGTACTGGTTTTAATATGTCAATATTGTTTTTGTGAGTTTAGAAATACATAGAGCAATCTATTTCTCCTCCTATGAACAAACCAGCCAAAGGATACCGACAGTAAAAGGAAGGGGAAATGTTGCTGTTATCTAATATCCATAGGTTATATTTATTTGGTTGTTGTCTTTATTAGGATTAGTTTTATGTTTGTCATTGGTCAGACATCAATGGGAGGTTTTGGTGTTTTCACACTATTACTTAGCAGCATTTTAAGTTGGGAGTGAGCAAAAATTAGCTCCTCACTAAGAATGACCTCACCTTTTTATACATGCTTGTCTAAGATTATATAGTTGAAGCATGAACCTCTCCTCTAAGACTAACGTTTAGGATGCCTACAACCCAGTTCATGGAAGGGATGAGATAAGAATTGGTTTCCACTTGCCCACAGCTGCTTTATCTTTCAAACTCTCTTGTTCTTTCTGGCCAGGCATTAGTATTTATGGCCTATGTCTTTACCTTTTTTTTTTTTTTATTTATTTTCTAAAATAGAGAAATTTTTTAGGCAATTCCTGGATTGAATTCAGATCAGTTCCCTAGGCTTGCTCCTTGTTCATCTTCAGAGAACTTAATGCTATCAGGAAAGAAGGGAAAAGAGAGAGAAATCTTCCCCTTTGATCACCAAGATGGATTTATTTCCTGATTATACTGGGTTTGGATGGGTTATAATTGTCTTTGTGGACTGTGTTTTGGGTTTGTGACTAAAACTGTTGGTAACACATTGGTGTTTTGGCTGTTGCTGAGCATCACTGGCAGAGTGTCAGGGATTCCAGAACCCCCCTGGTGAGTAGGCTGGGGTGGGCAAGAAGCTGGGAAGGGACGTGGTTGGGACAGCTGGTCCCAGTTGAGTGCAAGGATATTTGTGCTGTATAACACCATGCTCAGCAAAAAAACCTGAGGGGACTGATGGGTTGACTAGCAGGTGCCTTTTGCTTGAGACTGCTGGGCATCACTCTGCTTGTGGGAGTTGGTAAGTGGTGGAAAACACCACTTAGTGGTTTTTTCTTTTTCAGTTTTCTCTTCACTGAATAAACTATGCATATTTGGACCCCTTGCTTGTATTTCCTTGCTTTTCCTGTTCTCTCATGTCTCACCACTGTGGGAGGTGAGTGAGGAAGGGGTGTAATATCAGTATCTGCTGCCTGGGGTTAAGCCACTACAGGGTTCATAATCAATCAAACATTTCATTCTGTATTTGCAATGATGTGATTCTGAATATGATCCCAGAAGAAACCACTCATCATTTGTAACTTCTACATTATTTGAGCATTCATATTGGTATTTCTTCTCCTAAGCTGGATCTTGAGAAGCAAATGTACAGCCTTGTGTTGGTTGGAGAGGGTGGTTGATCAGGAGAGCATAGGGTGAAAGGGGTTGGACAAACAATGCTTGAAAAAGTTGTGGTCATTTTTAACTTTCAGCAGCATGGTCTTCTTCTGGGAACAAATGAAAAATTTCTTAATTGATCATTCTTAATGCAAGCATTATGCTGCAGTTAAATACTTTGGCTTTTTGTTTCATTACCAACACCTAGTGGTATATAAGCCCAATGGATGGGTTGATCCAGCTGGAAGCTTCACAGCTTTGCCAAGCTTTAAGTTAGTATTTTTAGGAGAATTTTTGGAGTTTTCACTTGGAGTAGTTTCACAATCAATTTATCATATTCTATATGACTCATAAAATTATTTAGGGTGAAAAGACCTTTAAGACCTCTTTAAGAGTCCAGCTGTTAACTCAGTCTTGCCAAATCCATCACTAAACCATGTCCTTAAATTCTACAGCTATGCATCTTTTAAATGCCTCTGGGGATGGTGACACAACATTTCCCTGAGTAGCTTATTCCAGTGCTTGAGTACCTTTTTGGTGAATAAATGTTTTTGATATCTAATCTGTAACTCCCTTGGCACAACTTCAGGCCATTTTCTCTTGTCTTACCACTTGTTACTTTGGAGAGTGGTAGTAGGCAGCATAAGGAAGCATGGAAAAAAGCAAAAAAAATGTTCTCTTTAATCAGGGATGTAAATGAAAACAGCATGGCAATATCCTGGACTGGACAGGTGGAATACTAAGCTACTTAGATCAGTGAAAGAAACATCCTTTTGCATGTTAGGCTTTTTAATAAGGTGTTGCAGATTTGTGGGTGTCTGTAGCTTCAGAAAGTGGTTTTAGGGTTCTTCCTTGCTCATTGCTGTAGTTGTACAAGCTCCTGGTGCTTTGTGTCAATGCAGATGAGGACTGAGCTGATGCTGATTCAGCAGAAATGAATGTTTTGTGATATTTTACCACAAACTCACCAGCTGTCTCTGCAAAAAGAACCCTGCAGGAATGTATGATTAAGGATTTGAGGAATAGGGGAATATTACTGGACTGTTGTTTTCAGTGTGTCTGTGATGGCTTGCTGTAGCATTAGTTAAGATCTGTTGTGAAGTCCTACTTTTAGCTATAAATCTGTTTGCTGGGAGGAATGAGAGGTGATTGAGATGATCAGAACAGTTTGGTTCTGCATTTCTGGAAAGATCTGGTTCCATTAGTTGAGTTTCTCAGAAGGGCACAGTATTGTTCCGTGTTTTCAGGGACTGCTGTTAATTCTCCTCTGCCATAACTATTAGGAACGTTGATGGTCTGTTTGGGTGAGGACCATAGCTAAGCAGTATTTCATTAACTGTTTTCCTTGCACTTTTTAACTTTTCTTTCTTTGGATCCAGAATGCCTAGAGGTGCCATACAGGAGGCTTACTTGGTGTGTGCAGTAATCCATCTGCTCTTTCTTCTGATCTCTTTGTATTTCACCTCATAATGCCACTATGTCTTTCAGCCTGTTAAATAGGAAATCAGAGTCTTAAAATGGACGTGATCCTCATCAATCTCATGGCTGAATATTTTGGTGATCTAACACAACAGATCAGATTGCTGAAAAAAAACCTGAAAACGATGTTTCTGTTCAAATTTCACAAAAGAAGATTTCTCATGAGAGGTGAATGTTACAGCTGTGAAAGTCTGAAGGGAGCACAAGATGTGCTAGCACAGCACAGCAAAAATGAAGGAGTGACAGTCATTGTCTCGCTTTTTGTCCAAACTCTTTATGAGCCTTGTGTTCACTGTTGTAATTTGCTCCAGTTAATGTGCTCGCAAAGAGATGGTACTGGAGAGGATAAGTAGCAGAGGAAATGTTTAGATTAAATTACTTGTAACTCAGAGTTCGGCCTGTTGCAAGAAAAAAGGTAGAAATTCAGCTAGACTTGAGTAATCCAGGTAAGAATCCTTATTGACTAGGTACTGAGCATAACATGCATTGATATATTTTCAGAGTTACTGGTTTGGAATGTTATCCCCTTGAAAGGCAAAGAATGGTTAGTCTAGTTTACCTTCAGGTGTTGAAATACAAATTGTCGTGGATGTTTAATAAGATCTTCTTTCTTTGAGTTCGTAGTAACTGACTTCATAATAATCTTAAATACACTGAAGACTGAAGAACTAAAATAAGTCTTTCTTTTAGTCTTTCTTGCTTCTCAGAAAGCACACACATAGCCATTACACGTGCTCATTGAATGTAGATTTTGCACCACAGAGGACTCGGTATAACTTCTGTTGTCATATTCTACTTGTAGGTAAAAAGAACATACTCTCATGGTACGTATAGAGCTGGCCCAATGAGACAGATCAGCCTGGTTGGAGCAGTTGATGAGGAGGTGGGGGATTACTTCCCTGAATTCCTTGATATGTTGGAAGAATCACCCTTCTTAAAAGTAAGGACAGAAGGGAATGGGCTGGGAGAAGGGGGACAACATGGTGTGTAGTGCTGTTATAATAATAAAGTGAGAGTATGTGGTACTTGTTCAGATAATTGAGTGTTCTAATCAAGGCTTTCTTCGTGAGAGATAAAGGCTGCTTTTAACAACTTTCTTAAAGTAACTCACTTGAAAATTGTGGCTTGTATTTCCCATTAGTGTACACTGCCATGGGGAACACTTTCTAGTTTAAAATTAGAGAGTCGTAAAGACAGTGATGATGGTCCCATTATGTGGGTACGTCCAGGAGAACAGATGATCCCTGTGGCTGACATGCCAAAGTCACCTTTCAAAAGGAAGAGGTAAGTGGAATTACTTCACTTGGTAAATGTCTGGTTAGTATTTTTTGCTTTACAAATTCATTTTATCCCAAATGTTTTACTGTTTGATATTGTATGTTAAGACAAATTACTGTGAATCTTCATCTCCAAAATCACTTTGTTGTTGTTGTTTTGTTATGTAAGAATCTGGAATTTTTTGGTTTAGTTTTTACTGTCTGACCACGTGAGATGCTGGTCCTTTTTTGGATCTTTAGTAGAATTTTAAAGTGAAAACTTCAGGAAAATGTGTACATGCATGGAATTACTGATATATGCCATGAGACTGGAATTGATACTCCTGTGGTTAAATGTGAGTGGATGTGTTATGACCTCTGGGGACAAGGGCTTTTCTCTCACCTGGAGAGAAACATTAAATGAAATCTTTAAGCTTTGCTGTGTTATTGGGTATAAGAACTAGCTGATGAGTAGGGACAGCCTCTGCAGAACTTGAATATTTTATGTCATAAGGAATTGTCATGGAAGTTCCTTTCAAAATATGAACACAAAAAGGGAGCCTATAGGAAGTGGAAGTAGGGGCAGGTGCCTCAGAAGGAATAGAAGAGATTGTCCAACCATGAAGGGGATACAGTTAAAGCCAAAGACCATCTGGAGTTGAATTTGGCAAGGGATGTGAAGGGCAGCAGGGACTTACACAGTTGTGTGGACAGTAGAAGAAAGGCTAGGAGAATGGAAGGCATTTGCTGAATGGGGCAAAGGGCCTGGGAACAAAGGACACAGAAAAGGCTGAGATAGTGCTTTTTTTGCCCTTGGCTTTTCTAGAGAGATTTACTTTTAGGAATTCTCTGTCTTGGAGGTAGTAAGAGTGTGTGGAGGAAGGCTATTTTCCTTCAGTGGAGGAAAATCGGTTAAGAAACTTAGTAGACATGCAGATTAGACAGACACAAGCCTTTGGGACCTGCTGGGATGGGTCACATCCCACAAGTGCAGTGGGAGCTGGCCAGTATCATTGCAAGGCTACTGTCTCTGAAAGGTCATGGCAATTGGCAAAGGTTCCTGAGGACTGGAGGAAAGCAAGTGCCACTCCAGTTGTTTAGAAGGCTGTGAAGCAGAACCTGGGGAACTGCAGGCCAGTCAGTCTCACCTTCATCTTGGGAAAGTTGCCATTTCAAGCATGAGCAGCACAGCAGATTGGGGGACAGGGAGGTGTCTTCCCCTCAATCATGCCTGGTTCTGGCAAAGACAGGCCTGCCCATACTGGAGTATGTCTGGTGACCTGGGAGAACTGGGGTTTGCTCTTGAGAAAGGGATGCTCAGTGGGATCATCATAAGCACTTCATGGAAGGTTGTAAAAAGGACTTATTTCAGCAGTGCCCAGTGACATGAACAGAAAGAATAGGCAAAAACTGAATGACAAGAAAATCCATTTAAAATAAGGGAAAAAAGTTTATTTTTTTGCATCGATGAGCAGTCCTATCGGCTATGATAGAAGTTAGATAGTTCAGAGAAATTTTTAAATCACTGTTACTGTTTTTCTTATGCAGAACTACCAATGAAATAAAAAACTTGCAGTACCTACCTCGAACCAGTGAACCCCGTGAAATGCTATTTGAGGACCGGACCCGAGCCCATGCGGATCACATAGGACAAGGTTTTGAACGCCAGACCACAGCTGCTGTGGGAGTGCTGAAGGCTGTGCACTGTGGGGAGTGGTACGTGTTGATTGGCTTCACCTAAGTGTCTGAAAAATGTTTGCTTGAATTGCCATTTATAATTGGGAGTGTAGAATAGGTTAATCTAGGATTAAAGGTTCAATGGAGACTTCATAGGTCCTGGCTGAGCATTAGATGTTTGTCTGCCCTCTTTAGATTGCATGTGCTTTCTGTGTGATCGAAACCAGAAAGGTTCCTTGCAGTGACAGCTCAATAGCTATAATTGAGTTGCTGTTACTGAAGTCATGTTAGAGGTAAAAACACCTCACACTTCATTTTGCTTCAAGTGGTGCATAGAGACTGAGCTGTCACTGTGGCACAGGTGCACATGGAGACCTTCTGGCAGTTCTTGTGTCATCTGGAGATGAGCAGAATTGTTACACTTCTGCTTTCTAAGTCATGGCTGTTATCACCTTGATTTATTTATTGAAGCTCACCTTGGAAGAATCCTGTTGGAAGTTGTGTGATATTTTTTGGTGTTCCTGTGTGAAATTCAGGAAATGAAATGGGCTTTATTTGAAGCTTGTTTCATGTTAACCAAATAAAAATACGGGCTTCCTGGTCCAGATCAAAAGGGCATTTTTCAACATCTTCAGACCATGGAGAATGACCTTAGTTTTGGAGGTTAGCCTTGCATATGTAAACAGTATAAATACCTTTTTCTCTTTGTGTCTGTCTAGAAATTAGAAGCGGCAATTCCCTTTGGATAAAATGATGTGGATTTGTGTTACAATGCATGAGGTCGTTGACACAGAAAGTAGAAGAATTGTCATTGGGGAAGAGCTGGGTTGTTCAGATGATAATGTGTTCGTCTCTTGGGCTCTGAGGTTTTCAGTTTCCTTCCTCTTCAGGTCGATGACAGTGGGAGCCTTCAACTTCTGACTATGCTGTGGTGAATTAAGACTGAGCAGAAGTAGCAGGGCAAGAGTTGAGATAACTCTGTAGATCTGAGTATTTTAAATTGCTGAGCACATCAGAGAAAGGGAGGAAGCAAAGGAAGTAAAGAAACCAAACAAAACACTTGCCAAACTTGGATGTTTGTGGAGATTAAGAAGTTGAATTGATAATAATTTAAGTGTCTGGGAACTTCCCATTCTCATCCTATAGCTTTATAGCATACTTGAAAATCTATCAGTGTGGAATAAAAAAGAAATATCAGCATTTAATTTCAGTGTAAAGATGGAAAATGTATTTTAATTCAGAATAAAAAATTTATGACTGATGTATGGAGAGGAATAAAATATACAACACAAGCGACACAATAGAAGTTAGTTACATATTTCAGGCTTGATTTGGTCTAAATTATAATTCCTGATTTCCCTTTCCACATTGGTGTAATTTTGAAAAGCCACTTCACTGTACTTACATGATGAAAACTACTCAGAGCTTATGATAATGAAGCATCATTGATTAATGTAGCACATTAAAATAATTTCAGGTATTAGTTTTGCCATAATTTTCAATCTGTGGGTGGATTTATTTTAAAGGAAACAACATGAATGGAAGTGTTGAAAAATCTAGTTTTTTGTTCAGTTTTGTTTTGTTTCTTTTTAAAATCTATTTGAGTAGTTGAACAAGCCTGAAAAGCTGGAGATATTCAGGGGTGATTAAGGCACTATGGCAGTAAAAATGCACATATTCTAGTGATGAGATAATACATGTAAAAATAATGCTTTCTGTGAGGAGAAAATAAGACAGTTCCTGGGCTGCCGGAACTAAATCCATAAAAATGGATAGAGTGTGCAAAAAAAGCTTTATAAATTGCTGTAGATTTAAAGAAAGTAGGATTTATTTCTTAGCTGATAGGGATGAATGTTAATGCTAGGTGGGATAAATGGTATCTTTCAGAACAGACAGGAACAGAGCTGTTGAAAAGCAAAAAGCAGGTTATGGTGCAAGAGGACAGACATGGAAACTAAACATAGTGAAAAAAGAAACTGAAGATTTTGAAGAAGAAAAAAAACTTGTCCTTTCCCAAGTGTGACAGGATCTTGATTTGAGGTATTTTGTAAGATTACTATATTATGATCTTCTTTTTATTGCTTTGAGTATTTACAATTTACAGAAGAACTCTTGACTATTGCTAGCAAACATTTTAAGGATTGAAGTAAAATCTGACAAATGCAGGTGTGATCGTGCAGATTACTTAATGCCATTTTCATAGGTGATACCAAGTGAGCTTTAGAATTTATGAACTTGCCAGTGAAATTTTGAATTATAAGATGATTATGTGGGAAATTTGGGTGGATTTTTACAGGGACAGCAAAAGGCACTTTGTAGCTTTGTGTTTCAGCAAGCAGCTTTCAAGTTTGTGTTCTAGGGACTGCAGTTGTGCTTCTCTGTATGGTCATAGGAATTTGTCATGTTGCCAGTCTTTATGCATTAGGCCAGAAATATTAATGGTAAAACCCCTAGTTTTGAGTGTTTGGACATGTCACAGCCAAAGGAATCCAATTCTTTTGAAGAATGGGGTTAAGGGGAAAAAATACTGCCAAAACCAGTTCTAGCAGTTCCTCTAGTGGAGGCTTAAATGGGTTTTTCTGTAGTTATCTTATGTTTTGTTTTCATTTAATGTCTTTTTGGACATTAACTGAACTTCTGTGCTACAGTTTTGCTTTGGGGTAGGTCCATGATACCTAAATTAAAGATTTTGCAAAGTATTATCTCAAAGTTGTGCTAAAGATAAAATCTGCAAATGCAGAATTTTAAATTATATGACAGTATTTTTTCTCAGTTGTTTGCAAAAGGAATGTTGTGTTCTGTGACAGAATTGCTGCACAGAGCTGGTGATCCATCCTCTTGGACAGATATATATGGACTGAGACTAGGAATGACTATGCATGAACCAGAATAGACACTGCTGGGAAAGTGCATTGATTTCGTTTGAAGTTCTTGTGCAGAATAATCTTTCAATTGATTTTGAGTCTAAATTTCATTTACTCCAAATGCAAATTCATACTTTAAAAATAAATACCTGCATTATGAAAGGTAGATTAATGTAGTTAATGTTTTTAATGCCACTGATTACAAGTGTTTCTGGAGCTTTTTGCTTTCAGTGTTTAAATCCTCTTTAGAAGTATAGAGATCAAAATACAGAGACACATTTTAATCTTTGTAAAATTTGCTGTCTGAAAATTCTCCCTAGCATACTTCCAGTTGTTGATCTGGGATATTTTTTCTCCTGAAAATAGGCACAGACTCGTTATTTTTTGCTTTGTTGAGGTCATGACCTAAATAAAATAAACATGTCTCCTATGTTTAAAAAGCTGTACATCATTGCTTCCTTCCTAGAACAGTACTAACAGGACATATGTATCTTTATATAAGAATAGGTCATCCCTTTTTTTAAAAAGGGTTCTTGATCATCTATTAGCTTCTGAAATGTTTCAGCTCTGCTGCATCAGCTGCTCCCCAGGCCCTCAGTGTCTGACTCATACCCTGTTTTTGGAGGGGTGGAAGTGGGGTGAGGGATGTACTGGAGGCCCTGCAGGTGGGAGAGGCAGCTGGACAGCAGTGGGTCATGGTTCTGTCCCTGGTTCCACTCCCTGGTCCTGATGGGCAGTGCCTGGACCTGCAGCCTGTGCCCACTGCAGGCCGAGGAGGACCTGCATTCCTGTCAGCCCTGGGGACTCTGGAGGAGGAAGGAAAAAAATCTTTACCAGGTTCTTCCTGTCTGAGAGACTGTCCTTGAAAACTACTCAGTGTGAGCTTTATCCTTTATAAATGAAATCTTTGTGTCATCACATTTAAATTTTAAAAATCCTTTTAAATTGCAGATATCCCTCAAAAGCAAGTATGTGGAGCTTTTTTTTTTTTAACATATTTTCTGTGAGGAACAGTTTGGCCTTTAGATCAGAAAGTTACAGGGATTGTAGCTGCTTTTGCCTTTTGTGAGCTGATTCTAAATGATGTCTCAAGGAACCGTATGAATGGTTTGCATTTCTTGTGGAAAAGATGCTTTGGAACTAGAGATGTTTTTCCTAACAACTTGAATGTGGAGATAAAGCCTAATTCAGACTTTGCTTTTGTGTAGCTCTCTCTAGTGAGCATAAATAGGGATGTATTTTTAAAGGATGTTTTGTGGAGGATGCCATTACTGGGTGATTACATTGTGGCAGCTAATGCAGATTCAGCTTTTACTCCCACTCTGAGCAAGGTGTTTGAGGCTGAGGTGCTGAGCCGTGGTTGCCATAGTGCTCGCAGTCACACTGCTGTGTGTTCAGGTGCCTGATGGGGTCATCGTGTTGGAATGCTGATAGAGTAAGCCCAGTGTATCTGGGACAGCTGCCTTTCAGCATCTAGACAGCCAAGAGGCTAGTTAAAAATAGAAGTGAAAAATAGTGTGTTTTGTTGGCCTTTTATTGCTGCCTTTATTTCCACTTTAAAAAAAATCATAGTTAATTTGTTTAACCAGTTTAACGAGGTTGTGTTTTAGATCAACTTTTTTTTCTTAAAAATGTAGGCTATGGTAGAGTTGAATTTTTAAGTTTAAGAATTTGCTTTATCCTTGCTTGCAGACTTTTTGTTATTTTCTGCAGCATGGTAGTTTCAGCCTCTGACTGTGCACTACTTACTCTTCTGTAGGTCTGAGCAGCCTCGTATAACCAAAGATGTAATTTGTTTTCATGCTGAGGACTTCTTGGAGGTAGTTCAGCGAATGCAGTTAGATTTGCATGAGCCTCCACTCTCACAGGTAAGCCCACTAAGAACTGATGGTCAGTGTCCTCTGAGTACTGAGTCAGAGTTTTCACCTTTCCCTCACCTTTTCCCTACAGTGTGTCCAGTGGGTGGATGATGCAAAACTTAATCAGCTGCGAAGGGAAGGCATTCGATATGCCAGAATCCAGTTGTTTGATAATGACATTTATTTCATCCCGAGGAATGTTGTGCACCAGTTCAAAACAGTTTCAGCTGTGTGTAGTTTGGCTTGGCACATCCGGCTCAAGCTCTATCATTCAGAGGAAGAACTCTCTCAAAACACAAGTACTGTTGAAGCAGGGACCTCTGCAGACTCCAAGTCTTCAGTTGTCGGACTTCAGACTGACAGAGTTTGTACCATGAGCAAAGATACCTCTGAAGACACCAAATTTCCAGATGCTCTGCAGACCAAGTACCTGCAGCAGGAATTTTTGCCCATAAAACATGAACCTCTTGCATCTCTCCGAGTAAAAGAAGAACCCATGAATGTTGACCTTGCTGAAAAGACAGTGACACCTAATGACGTCGGGGGACAGAATGTTCAGGCTAGGCTGGATCATGTTGAGTTGACATCACTAAAGTTGGAAATGGATTCTAAATTTGAACCCGGCAACAAGGACTTGCAAGGCAAGTTGTGCTCTGGAGGTCACGTACATCCAGATGATACCAGACAACCTAGCTTATCATATCCAAAATTGCATGGACAAAGAGAGGATGATTTTTTGTGCTAAATTTGTATATATGGTTTTAAATTCCTTTTTAAACTTAATGATGTAATAATGTAAAGATCATAAATTGTGAGGCAAGTTTGTGACTTGTCTTCGCATCTGTTACAGAAAATAGTTATGTAGCTTTGTAACATTCCTCAGTGCCTGTCCATAACTGTGAAGTATCAAAGCACTTAGGGCCAGATGCACTGTAAACACTGCAGGTTTAACATAAAGAAGTCTTTAAATAATTTTGAGTTGTAGGTTTTAGAGTAGAGCTGACATTTAACATATATATTTTTTGTAAGATGAGCCAGAATTCTTTTTGACAATTCCAGGCTTTTCCATAGAGCTTATTTATACCAATTTTTTCATTTTAAATGTGTCAGCACTGTAGTGTAAATATCTTTTTTAAGAATCTTTTTAGTGTGATTTATACTGAAATGTGAGCCGCTTAATAAAGGTTCATAATAACAGATTGGTTTTATTTTTGGGTCTGCAAAAAATAATTCAGTTCAACTGCCTCTCTTAGTGGTTATGTTTCTACCTGCCACTAACACATAGGAGATGCCCTTACACCTTGAGGGTGAGGAGCTGTAGCAAACTGAGGTAGAGCTGAGGCATCTTTGTAAATGCTGATTAGTCAGAAGGCTAAATCAGTCCTCCCTTCATGATTCCTTACAGGTGCTTGTTCCAAGCACTCCCCCAACTCCTGCTGTCAGGTATTCATTGGAACAGGGAGACAGAGGGTCTGTTTGGAGGGCAGTTGGACACGCAGGGGGCTCCAGGAGCGCTACCTGTACCTGCCTGCATCTCTCTAGGTGAGCTGGTGCAAGGGAGCAAACTCCCTCCTGGGCTTTGCCTCTTGGCCCTGCTCAGGGCACAGTTCAGACACTTAGATTTCACGTAAACAAACCACACCCAACCAAAAAAACCAACAAACCCACACAACAAGCCAAAAAAGCAACCACTCCCTCAAATCTGTTATCTGACTGCAATTAAAAGAATATGTAAGGGATTACTTACCAAGCTAAAAAGGCCTCAGCTTCAGCAGTGACCTGTAATTCACAAAGACATACCTGGATTTGAATTGCTCCCTATGCTGATAGTGCCAGGCAATAAAGAGGCTTGCCAATATGTGTAGTGGGGAGGTTCCTCATGAGTCACAGTTTGGAAGCAAGAGGTGTTTCATTAAGAAAATAAAAGCAGTGTCCAAGTTAACTGTTCTCTTTCCCCATCTATGGAACACTTGGATTCTTTCAAGTTGTGTTCTGAGGGAAGACAATTTCAAGACTAGCTAGCATCTGATCTGGTAACTGTCATTTAACTTATATATTCTGTGTAGTGTACTCCTGTGTAGTTAAAGCACAGCCAAATGATACGTCTCTCGGGTAGCTGCACACAGCAGTCAGCTGCCCTGTAGCCTGTCCTTCAGCTACATATGTAAAGCTTCAGATCCAAGGCCTATTATTTCCAAAGCCCTCTGTATCTCTGATTTGTTAGAATTTTTCTGTATAACGTTTTTGAAAGTTGTACATCTTTAAGTACTCAGTTTTTAAACCTTGATGCACTTAGTGGTCACTTTGGCTTCATTTGTAGCAATAGAACAATGTGATTTTCAGGCGATATCCAGCTCAACTACCTGAGGTCCTTCTGTTGTAAATGTTCTTTTCCTTATAGGTTGTTAAAATTTAAAATGTTTCTGCATACTCATGAGGTGGCACTAAAATCAGCTATTTATTAGATGAGTGCCCTGATTGGTTTAATCCAAAATAGATCTGTTGAGGAATTATTAATTAAATCAATATTTGAATTGCTAAACATTTCTCCTACAGAGCCATAATTATGTATTAGAGGAGCAATAGAAATGTGAGTCTCTTGGATGTGGCTAATACATCCTTAAGTCTTGCTACTGTTTTCTTTAATGCTGGCTAAGAGATTACTACCAGTTTTTCAGCCTCAGGGATCTTGCTTTCCCCTTTGCCATGAGCAAATAATTCATGTGTTATGTGGTTATTCCTCTAGTAGGTTCTGATCTGAAAAAATTAATTTGTTCATGTAAGAATTAGAGCCTTCCTTACAGCAGGAATGTGGTCTCACCTCGCTTTATTGTTTTCTGGATTTTTCTGGAAATAATGCTTCCACCTGTAGTCTCTGGCTTCATGAACATCCATATACAGTTACTTGGCCTTCCATTCCTGTTCCCTGTGCTGCCCATGGGAGAACAGCAGCAGAGCAGAGCTGCAGGTTGTAGTTTGCACCAAGCATGCAGCTCTCCAGGTAGGATAGATGAGGGCTCTAGCTTTAGCAAAGGCAGTCTTGCCAGATACTGCTTTTTAAAATAAGAACCACACAAAACAAACCCCCAGAACTCTTTATTTGACTCAGAATAACAATCTTACCAGTGTGCTGGTCATGCATATGCCAGCCATTTGTTTGGTTTCAAATAATTGTTGGTAACCTGTCAGATTTTAGTGAAGAGTGGACATAGATCCCCCAGGACAGCTGCCAGCTTTTTGCAGCGTAGGCCCAGTCCAGACAGAAATAATAAATCTTTGAAAATGATTAGCAAATACAACTTTACACTTATGAGTAGAACTTTGTTTCCTTTTGGAGACCTGCCCAGTGGTCTTGGCTGATGTAGTCTTGAACTTCTGTTCAGGTATCTTAGTCCTGAGATTTTGCTTCTTAAGTGCCCACGTTTGACTCATTTTTTTCTTACCACTTTCAGAATTTAAAGAGGTTTTTTGCAGATTTTGTGTATTTTTTCAGTTTTTTGAAACAGACTAGATTCTCAGTTTAGGCAGAATTCCTTGCAGACAGAATTTGAACCATATTGGGATTATCAATGGCTACCAGACCTCCCTTTGCACTTACAGATGTCTGCGGCCTGGGCTGGCTGGCTGACTTTTTACTTGCTCATTTAAAAAAAAGTGATGTCCTCTCCCTGTGGTGTATTCATTTTAATGAGGTTGTCATTTGAGAGGGGAGAACTTTTTCTGAGAATTTCACCTCCCTGATTGTTCATTAATCTGACAAAGGCCTTGCTTCAGTCCTGTGCTATAGCCTTTATTCCTGCTGCATAAGATTTTTGCTTCAGCAATAAATCTTTCATGTATTCTGCTGTACTGAAATTAGTCCTTGCTTATTGCTTTTCCCCCTTCTCTGGATTTTGGTGATTTATAAATCTTTGTTATTTTGGCTGAAATCTCCAGTGTTTTAGTTGTCTCTCTTGGCCCTTGTGCAGACTGGAGAGTTGCCCGAGGACATTGGGGCTGTTGCTATCTCCCTGCACATGCAGTGGTGTTCCAGTTAATAACAGGATGTGCAGAAAATTAGATGTTTTCCTAGATCCTGGTACATAGTTTTGGGTAGCAAAGAATTGCATTGTTGCAGTTGCTAAAAGAGCTTTCAAGGGGGGTAGCTACTTTTTTTTCTTTTAATATTACTGGATATTTTGCATTTCACTGGCGACTGACTTCATGTGTTACATACAAGTGTTACTCAGTGTTGTGTCACCCCCAGCCCTCCAAATGCCTGAAAATTGACTCTTAAAGAACATTTTCATTACAGGTACTGCTGGCATGCAGGTTTTCCCTTCCTTGTTACTATAGCGAATATTTCAATGCTACTTTTAACTGAAATATTAATTCTGTCTAGTATTAGAAATAAAGTATTATTTTAGAGGGTGATGATTTAATTCTTCATCTGTGAAAGAATTCCTTGGTGATAAATAAAGTTGATTTTTAAGTGGATATACATGTGCACAGTAAATAAGTTGGAATTGCAAAAGATGTAGGAAATGGAAATTTGAAATAGTAGAATGCTGTGAAAGAGATCTGAACATTACAGATTTGGAAAATGGAGTAAGTCTTCCAAGAAACACAAGACTGGTATTCATTTATCAAAATGACTGTTTTCTAATATCTGCATGTGAATAAGATGCTGAATTGACCAAAATAAATCCATGATTTTTTCTTGTTGATTGAATGAAGTCAAAATGAACTGTTGTGAGATAAGTACACTGCCACGTGACCCTGCTAGGCTGAAAACTGTACTGATTCTGATCAAGAGATCAAGGAGCTCCTCAAGCTTCTCAAGTGTAATTTTATTTATTTTCCTGTAGTGGTTAGGTACATAGAGAGCTTTGTGTTTAGGCAGTGCAGCGCCTGTACCTTACCGGGATGTATCCAAGCTAGAAATGGAAAGGACAAATTTTCACTGCTTTGTGCTTTGCTGTGAATGACTGTCAAGAATGATTTGATTGAGTCACTGTGTTCAGCTGATATTTTATTACTTTCTTAAACAGATGAAATGCACTTTAAAATTGTATAGAAGTTACTGATAATGTTGCGCAGATCCCACTGAATATGCAGCATATGTGGGAATATTTGGGGAACTGATTCCCATCAGTCACTCATTTCATTTTTCTTAAAAATGCAAGTTATTTTATGTTCTGTTCAGAAGCAGTGATTAACTTCACAATATTTAGGTTGCTGTTTCTGTTAGAATCATCAGGGATACTGCCATTGCAAATTTAGTGTATTATATTCTAATCACTGTTTTTCTCTGTGCTTTGATGCTGATATGATCTCTGCTTTGAAGCCGTGCTGTACTTGAGTGCCAGCTAAACATTGATCTTCTCTTGTTCTGGTGATGCTGATAGATGAGCCTACTGATGAGGGCGTTAGTCCTAAATAGTCTTTTAATATTTGGTGTACAGTTATCTGATACAAACATTGATTAAAACAGCAGTTTAAACTTCTGTTTTTATCCAGTTTGATTTTTCAATAGCGATTTTGATACTATGTTTTATCACTTAATTTGCCATCCACTGGAATGATGGTGCCATGTTGGGTGCAGCTCAGGCCTGTGTTCTAAGGACTGTGCTTTTTATGGGAGCTTTTTTATTTTTATCTCGTTGTGTTGAGACAAAGTGAGGCAGTTAGCAGAGAAAGTTGTTCTGGTGTCTGGAGAAGAAAATCTTGAGAATTAGACCTGTGTGGGGGAGACTCTGTAACATAAGGCTGCTAAATCTTTATCCTTAGCATGCAAGAGTAACATTCAGGTACTTGCCAGTGTGAACTGAAGCAATTGAGAGTTTTAGTTAATCACAGAAATGGAATTTTTAGACTAAAAAACATCTTGAAGTGGTGATTTTTTTTCATGAACTTCAGAAGGAGCACTGAGATCAAAATTAAGGCAGATGAACTAAGCTGACATTCTCATTGCTTTCCTGTTTCTCACTCTCATGCTGTTCTGCACTGTAGGGAGCTTTTCTTCTATTAGTCTGCATGGGATTTGGTTTTGTTAGGAAAGGCAGATCAGAGGGAACGGCATCACTGAGTTGCAGATTTTCCTATTCTTTACCCCACAAGTCCAAAGAGAAAATCCAGAATTTATATTGAGCAATACTCTAGTGGTCCAGCTGCAGAGATTGCTTAGGTTGCCTTAGTTCTCAAAGCCTGATGCTTTCCAGCAGCAAGTTGGTACCCAAGCCCATTCAGGTCTACAAGGCTGATATGGGAGGTGAACTCTATCAAAACCTTAAAAAATAGTAAAGTTACAGTGAAAAGGTGCAAATTTTCTTTTCACAACTCAGCATACTTGTTTTTGCTGCAATCCTAATTAAAAAGCATGATGTGTTACGTGATAGTGCCATGTTTTCCATACTAGTAAATTCAAACAACTTATTTCTGAGGATGCAATTATTCAGGAGCTTTATTACTGAAAAGCCATGTTATTTTTTTTCCAAAATTATATTGATGTTAAAATAGGGAACACCTGATGTTAAAATTCTGAGTTTCTGGGAGTCTCATAATTTTCACTTTCACTTTGTGTCACCCAATTTTTTACACTATGGAAATGTGAAAACTTTCGTAAGGTTAAGCAAACTTCTGCTTCTGTGCTATGATGCAGACTGTGTCAGAAAGGAATACTGATAATACATGTCTCAAACGGTTGTGTACCCCTGTCCTGTGCTAGTTCAGGCTTTGATATTGCCCTGTGTACCTGGCAGTGCATTTTGTGTGTGTCTGCATCTGTTCTCAGAGCATACAAAGAATACAAAGCTGTTCTTTTCTAAATACTCTTCAGATATGTTCTAAACTGTATGGATACTTTCCTAAATTGGTGACAAATCAAGAAAACCAGTATGAACTGGCAATTGAAATTTTAGTTTCATGACCTTTCACACATGTGCATGAAGTATTTTCTGTAATCAGGCAAAGGCAGATACTCACCTGTACTGCACACTGAAGTGTTCAAACTTCTATAAATGATGGAAATTGTGTGGAATATAACTTTCCATGTCCTATATATATCATCAGTACAAAGAAATACTTCCAGTTGGTTTCAATAAGTTTTTGAATTGCAGTTTAAAACAAAGCTCCTGAAGGCCAAGTTCTCTCCTTTGCCCCCCATCAGCTGCTGCAGGGAGCTGAGACAACATCCTTGTGCCTTTGTATCACAAATCAGTGTGAGCCATCTCAGCATGGAGCTCTCCTTTTCCCTGCTACCTTCAGCAAATTTTCTTTTCACTCGTTTTATCCTGTTACTGAAGATCAGTTGGTCAGTTGGTAAATATAGGAAAATGTGTGAGGAGCATTGGTTCCACTTCCATGCTGTGATCAGCACCTTTGAGAACAGATGTAATTATGAACAGATGTAATTAATTCCTGCAGCAGTTTCTGGAAAGGTCACCGTGGGCTATAGTGTACTTTATATCATAAATCCTGAGTGAAGTTCTGATAAGGTAGAGAAACAGCACTGTGTGCACCAAGATCTCAGCACTGTTCAGGTCTGTTAAATAGGATACAAAATTCTCAAAAGGGATATGCTCTTGTCCAAGTTTCCCTGTAAGAATAAGGAACTTGGAAATTGAACACTTCCATCTGGCTGTGTGTGACTTCTGTATGACACCAGTAAGAAGTATCTGCTTCAGCTTTCCACATAATTTATTTCAAGGTTTGTAAACCTTTAAAAAAAAAAAGCCAAACCCACAACCAAAACTGAAATTGCTGATCTTTTTCTCTTGAATTAGAGGCAACAATTAAAAGGAGATTTGTAAGGACTGTGTGTGATTCTAGTTAATTAGAGATGCCAAACTTTCAGATAATTATTACATCTGTGGAAGAGAAGGGATTTATTATGGGGGCAGAGTCACCATTCACAGCCTATTTTGCTAATAATACACCAAGTTCCAATGAAGCCAGTTTTTATTCTTCCATCTTTTGTTTTATGTCATAACAATCAATTACCATCATCAGCTCGGCTGAGAAAAGCTGCTCTGCTCTCCTGAGTAGCCATGGGGATGTTCTGGCATGCTCTGAACAAGGGGATTTCGAATTTTATTCCTCCAGAATCATTGGATGGGAAAGGACTATGGCTCTTATTTCATGCTTGGTCCCATGCCTACCACAGGTAAGTGTGTGTGTGTGTGTGTGTGTACAGATAAAATCGTCTTGTCTGAGGTGCTTGAATGCTTGTTACACAGTTGTATCACTGCCTGTTAAGTGGGTCATCAAAGTTTACCTAAATTGGAGGTAAGGCTTTAGATACTCTTCTTCATAGATTTTTGAAAGTAGCCATAACAAATGCACAAGGTGTAGACTGCCTGCCATGGAGTGGCATTCCATTCTAGGCAGGGGCTCAGGGCCTGGGTTCCCATTTGCAGAACAGAGCCAAGTGGGAGGTGCAGGTGAAGGCTGTTCCCTCCATGCACAGGTACCTGTGGCACCTGCACGTGTGTGCTCGCTCTCGCAGCTCCTGCAGCCAGCAGATCTCAGAGCATGTTCTGAGATCAATGTACTCTTCCACAGCTCATCACAAGTGCCAGTTTTACTTGAAAAATCACTTAAGACTGAAGGAGGTCAGTTCTCCACTGGAATCTCACGTGAATGGGCAAAAAGTCTCAAACACAGAGCAAGGTCCTTCCATTAAGTATTTTTCAGAACTGCACAATGCATAGATACACCTCCTAAAAACAATTTTCCTGCCAGGTACTCTCCATAAATTACCTGATGCTCTATCTTGGGGCTGGGTATATGGGTTTGCTTAGTAAAAGCTGATGTATTGTTATAATAAAGGGTTTATAAATACTTTACTTTTTTTAACAACAGCTACAGTTTAGAATTCTTTTGTCCTTGTCTTTTCCTGGATTCTCCTTTAGCAAGATAGGACAATCAACCACTCTGAAATAAATATGACTTAAATTCATTTTATATATCATTTGTTACCTGTTAAGATTCATTGCCTTGGAATGGAACATGGTTTCTTGGATAAATCTCTTTCAGCAGTCTCCCACAATATGGTTCCGCTGTATTTTTATCCACGTCTGTATAATGAAACGGCAAGAGTAAATCCAAACACTTCTTTTTTCCACAGACAAGTACAGTTCAAAATGTACATAATTAAAATTTTATTAGTGAGACACTTTAGTCTAGGTATGTCCTGTTACCCTAGACTGTTTTTCATTCACTTGAGATTCTTTTCTCTAGCAGCTGTAAATGGATCAGTACTTTCAGCATGAATGTTAATAATGTCCCAGATAACTGCTACATTTGAATTGGGTGTTACTGTATCTCCTGAAAGAGCACTTCAGTTCACAAAATACACTTGCAGTTCCAGTTCTTTCCTGAAGTCCTTTTCACTTGTTACCTGAAAAAGGTAATTTCCTCACATCTGAGATTGCCAGTGCTCTGTGAAGCCAAGGCTTCACCCACAAAAATTTCATATCCTCGGGTATTAAAAACTGTTTTATTCACGTACCACTTTGGGCAGGTACAAATGCAGCACTGAACTTGCCCTGTGTTTTCAGTGTCTTGCAACACTGGTGATTTCTCACTTGGAATCACCGCTGTCTCCCTCTTCTCTGGATCTCGGGACTGCTGGTACAGCTCAGCTACCAACTGTATTCCCTAAGGTTAACATGCTGGTTATGGGCTGTTTCAGCAGCTTAGAAAACAGTGCTTAGTTTTAGACTGGTAATGGAATCTCACTGTCCAAAAAAAAAAGTGTATTACTTTATTCCTTTTCTTGTTCTTAGTTGGCTGCTGTCACTCGTTACTGATTTTTAAAGCAAATTTAGCTCCTTATGGAAATTACTGTTAACTGGTTATTTCTTGATTTACAGCATAAGTAGCAGAAAATGTTAGTCCTCTTTCCTAGGATTACTCAATGTGCTGAATACTCTGGGTAGAACATTTGTGATTTCTTTGACAAGGTCTTCTACCTGCACGTGAAGAACCTGTATCTTATTCCATGTAACAAATAACAGTAATCATATTAGAATGGCTTATGTTGAACAAATACTTTTATTTACAAGAGAATATGTGAGTTTTAAAATAAAAAAAAGAAACAAGTCTACTTTCAGTCTTCAGCCTGCTTTAGCTTAAGTCTCCAGCTTGACTCATTTGGCTTTCTAGTTTGAAGATCAGCTCTGTGGCAAAATGGTAATAATCTGGTAATTTGGTGCCAATCCTGGCACTGGAAACCACCTGGCATAGCTTAGTCTCTTCTTACATAGAAGATATTATACCCGAGTTCAACCATGCCCCCAATCAGCAAGGCCCAGAGTGGGATGAACACGTAGGCCAGTTTCATGGTGGTGAATCGCTGCAGCTTTGCACACAGGGCGAGGCAGAAGGCCAATTTCAGCAGCATTGCAATCAGGTACCAGACTTTCTTCTTCATGTTCTGGGAGCCATTGCGAGGGTCAAAGCCAGACTTGCACCGTCCAGCCATTTTTACAATTAACATAACTAGAAGAATTGTATCAAATATCCACACTGGAATAAAAATAAGGAACCAGTTCCACGGTGCTTTCTCATCCAACTTCAGCACCAGCATGATCAGGAAGAGTAATGTAAAAAGCCATGTCAGCAGCACTCTTTGTGCCAGGGACATTCTCATTTAAACAGCTTTGAGAGGAAGTCCTTCGCTGTCAGCAAGCACCTAACAAAACAAAAGGGAGAGGGAAGGCATCAAAAATTGGCACTAGACCATCAGACATACTCCCTAAAGGAGACTAATTCCTTGCTCTTGCTTTCCCACTCCTAACCTCACCCACATACTGCTTCCTAGCGCTTTCATAACTACCATGCTCAGCTGAAGAGTGTTTGTTCCAGTCCACCATTCCCTTGGAGTGCCTTAAGTCAGCTGTGTAACTGCCTTAATCTAAATTTCTTCTGTGAAACAAACTAAACAAACTGTCAGGCTCATGTAGGGATTTTTGAACGCTAAGAATATGTTTAGATCCATTTTACACTAGTACTGAGGCACTCACAGCTAACATTTGAAAACAAAACATAACAGTGCTCTCTATGTAACCAAATAACCACAGTAAAACGTGAACCAGCACAAAGGAGCACAGAAACCCTCGGAGAGATCCTGCAGTTTGCAGAGCTGCAGCTGAAGTGACCTGGGCTCAAAGTGAGCCAGTGAGCACTGCCCAGCTTTCTGTCAGCCAGCAATCTTGAAATTACTAAAAGCTACCGATAATGTTTGCTTTTTGGCAGGTATCTCAAGTGTTCAGACACTGGCTGACAGGTTTATTGGCTGGGTAGGGTATTTAAATTTCTCTGTAATCATGATGAAAGAAAAACAAGACAAATGCCACTACAGTCATGAAAGTTTTTATATTCCTAAGTGGAAAGTTTTTACCACTTAATCTGCCAAAAGCCTTTCACTACAAGTGTCAAAAACTGAAGTGCGAAGGACTGTGATCTTCCTCTAGATTTCATGCTACAAAAATGAGTAATTTTTACCAGTGAAATGGTGCTCAAATAGGTATTTTAATTATTTTTAAAATTTGAGTTAAAATTTTTAATAATTCCTTTTAGAACACTAATAGTCTTTCACCTGAAATGAGAAAATGAGCTTTGATTTGTTCCAGACTACAAAAATATTTGAATTACTCAAAGTGTGATGTTGTGTTCTGAAGCACTGAATCCTCAGCACCAGATGCTGAGGGAAGGACAAGAGCTGCTTCCCCTCTGTGCCCCCCATGCCCAGAAGCTGCTGCTGCTTCCTCTGTGTTATTACCAATGCACACAACATCACCTGATTATGGCTGCTGAACTCGCCCAACAAGCAGAAATCTACTGCCACCTTTTTCTTTTTAACTGGGATTGGTTTTTGCCAGATTATTTGAAGTTGAACAAATTTTGTGCTCAGATGAGATTTGCTACTGGAAGCAGGGAAGTAAAAGTTGCTGTCTCAACTGGTTATGAGATGACCTGCTCCCTTGCAGTGAGGGGAGAACAATTTTGTACATCCCTAAAATCATCCTACAGTTTCAATCTGCATCTTCTGATACAGAGTTCAACAGACCTACTATTATGTTCAGTCTGGTTTTGAACTTTGGATGGATTTGATTTAGTGGATAGCAGTAGGATTTCTTGTAAGGAGAAGATCCAGTTTTGCATAAAATAATCTAAATTAGAGTTGCAGTCAGCACATCCCCTCTTTGATTTGGGGCTGACACTTGTCCAAAGCAGGCCAGTTCCCTGAGCTGAACTAGAAAAAAAGAGAAAGTTAAAAGTAGTATTTTGTAGCTTTGCTTTTCAAAGTCTCAGTTCTGCTCAGATCACCAAAGGGTCTGGTGAAATCCAGTTCCTGATAGGATGGAACCAAGACCCCTACCCTTCTCTTCCTCAGCAGCACTCAAGAGTTAAGGGGACAAAAAAATTGAAGGAGGTTTAGATAGCATTGTTTTGCTCTTGTTACAGAAACAAACCTAAACCAGCTGACAGGGGTTACAGAACAATTACTATGTCTGGCCTAAAGCATTTACAGTATTTTGAAAACAATTCCAGTATTCTCAAGTGCAAGTCTGTGGCTAAAGTGAAGAGTCATGATCTGTAATGAAGTTTCAACATTCTTTTCATGAGGATGTTTTTCAAAATCAGTTCTAGAAATGCTACAAACACTACAAGAAGGAGACTCTTATTAGCAAACTGGAGAAAGCAGAAACCAAACAGAAACAGACTGGAAACTTGGGTCTGAAAGGAAAAAGAAACTCAACACTCTTAGAAGTATCAGGTTATCAGATACTCAAAGAAGGTGCTATCACCTTTCTCTGGAGGAAACACAAAGCTACTGAAGAGGTAATACATAGGGCTAGTCAATTTGAAGGTTGCTCACTTGAAAATACTTTCAGTTTGCTAAGAGCCACTTTGCAACAACTGGAAAAAACAGGCAGAAAATTCAGCATGGGAAGAAGTTATGCTGCCTGTCTCTGATCTAATAGATGTTATTGCCAGATTGGGCAGGACTGCAAGGCTCCAGTCAGTTTTAGAGGCGTTTTTAGATGAAAACTCAAGAAAATCCAAGTGTACTTTTGAGATCTTAGAGTTCAAGTAAAGAAAGCTACCAGATTTTGAAGGCTGTGAGCTGGATATAGATCTGACATAAAATTGAAGGGTTTGATTACATGGAGCATTTGATTATCCCATGGTGAAAGAAAGATGATGGGCAGATTCTTTGCTAGAGCCCAGCAATCCCAACAAGATGGGTGACACTGGGAAAAGGATGCAGCTGTGCTACAGGTCTGAACTGGCTCTTCAGTGAGAACACTGATGGGATGGGATGTCAGCGTGAAAATAAAAAATCTCTTGACTCCTATTATAGGACCGACATAATTAGGGAGTGAAAATTTTCAGCGAGGAGAAACGATCCAAGGAGCATCACTGACCTTGGTGGGATGATCTGCATAACGAGGATATTATGATAGCTAATTCTGTCCTGTTTAGAAGAAAAAAATAAAGAGGAGGGCATCTTACAGATGAGACTCAGCTCAGTGGTAATGATAACATGAACCTATACATTTAGATTTAAATATTGAACATCGCCTAAAATAGTCCTGAAATTCGTATTATGGTGAAACCATATTAAATAGAACCCCAGTTCGATTAAATACTGTTTTAGAGCCTAGTCCGATCGTATGGGTAATTTAACACTTCGAAAGAAATACTGCGGTAGGCCCCGTTTAAAACCCCATTTAAACACAGCTTTGGATTCGCAAACTCAGCCCCTCCCTCGGCCTCGCGCCAGGCCCCACTTCCCCGGCCGTGCCAGAGGTCCCCGAGGCTGAAGCCCCCCTCGTTGCCCATCACCTACCGCAGATCCCGGCGCATTCCCCGGTCCGCGGGGCCCGCGCTCAGCTGAGGGGGCGCCGGGCCCTCCCCTCCCGCTCCGCCTCAGGGAACCGCCCGCCTCCCTCACCCGCCTCGCGCCTGCTATTGGCCAGCGGGAACGCGCGGCCTGCCGCCCTCTGTTCTCATTGGTCTGTGGCGACGTCGTTCAACTTAATCCCGCCTTCCTGTCCTCAGCCGTCGGTGACGCCCCTCGAGCTCGGGTCGCTCCACCCGGCGGGCGGCGGGTCAGCCTGGAGCCCCGCCCCCGCCGCCAATTGGTGAAGGCGGTATCTGTCACAGTGGTCTCGCCTCTGCCCCGCCTCTACGTCAAGCGTAGCCCCGCCTCCCTCGCGCTCTGGTTGGGCAGTGACGCCGCCAGTCACGTCTCGGCCCCGCCCCCTGCGGCGGGAGGGGCCACCGTTGGCTGCCGGCCCGCGCGGGCCCCGCCCCCGACCCGGCGGCGCGCGCGGGTGGCGCGCTGTTGCTGCCGCCGCTGCCGCCTGGACGCGCGCGCCGCTCCCCCCCCGCTCTCGCTTCCCCCGCCAGCTGTTGCCTCGCGCGCGCCTTCCCGCCGCCGCCTCGCGCTCCCGCCGCCGTTGCGTGCGGCGCGCGCTGCCCCGCGGCACCGGCGAACGGTGAGATGGCGGCGGGGGGGCTCCGGCACCGGGAGGGGGCTCCGGCACCCGGGGGCGTCCCCACCCCGCCGGGGCAGCGGCGGGGGGAGAACCGGGGCTCCGAGTTCTCCGTGCGGCTGGGGAAGGGGCCGGCCGGGGCGCGGGAGGGGGGCCGGGGCGAGGCGGCGGTGCTCTCTCGGTGCTGGGGGACAGCGCGGCGGAGGCGCGGGGCGCGCATCACCGGCGGGGCTGCCGCGGCTCCCCTGGCGGGGCGGCGGGAGCGGGGCGGCTGCCGCCCCTCACCTCCTCCCGGGGGAGTCCCGGCCGGGGCAAGGGCGGGCGGTCCGCGGCCTCCGCGGCGCCGCGGTTCCCTCCGGCGGGAGCCGGCGCGGTGCCGGCGCCGACGGGGCGGGGGTCCGAGCGCGGCTCCGAGCGGCCCCTGCCCGCAGCGCCGCGGACCCGCATCGGGTCCGGCCGGGCAGCGGCCGCGCCGTCCCGGAGCCGTCGGTGCCCGTGCTGCCGTGTCCTCCGCCGCCGGCGTCGGTGCGGGCGGCAAAGGTGCAGGTACGGTCCGGGGCCCTTTCGGTGCTTGGGGCTCTGCCTGCCCGCTCCGGCTCTGCTGTGAGGCACCCTCTCTCCGCTGAGCTGCTTGAACATATCGTGAGCTGCCTCAATGCCTGTGTCAGGTGATAGAACGTGTTTTCTGCTTCCCTTTAAAGGTTCTGAATTTCAGCATCTTCGTTTTCGTCTCTGACCTTGTCTCTTGTATTGTGTCTTACATATGTTCATGTTTTCTTTTTCTTTACTCTTTTGGGTTTTTTTGGTTTTTTGGTTTTTTTTTTTTTTCCCCTTTTCCACCCTAAAATAGTGGCTACCTTACCGCAGCTTATCCTTGATTTTCCGTTTGGGAATCAGAATGTTAGGGAACTTCTCATCACTCAAAATTTATGCTGTTACATTCATTTTCTAGGTGTTTTATTTTCTGTCTTTTCTGTGAGAAACAAAGGAGCTGGGGAAAATTTATCCCACAGTACTACAGCTGTCCAGGTTACTTTTACTTCTGTTTCTCATACTTAGCCTCTGAGTGGGTGTTACCCAAGTGTATCAGATTCAGTGGAACTTTGAATCCATACTGTCAAGCTCTGTGCCTGGTATTTTGCCTTTTATTGCTTTTCCATGTTATTGGTCACTTGAAAAGTAATGCTGCTGAGTCTTGCGTTTTGTTCCAAATTTGCCAGTGTGTTATCCATCTGTCATATAATTAACTGGGAAAAGTAATTAATTGGAAAACCTGACTTGTTGAAAGTACTTTAATTAATGTTCTGAAATTCTTTGTGATAAAATGTTCCTACAGAAAATACAGCTTGTCTTACAGTTTGGATGCACGAGTTTTCTAATAGGAATGAGACTACGTACAGTGTGTCTGTCATCAGTAATTTGTCTGCTTATATCTTCCTGTTGATGATGTTAAACAGATGGTGTATCTGTTTTATCAGGGAGAAGTGCATCACTTGAAATAACCTGTTAATCCTAGCAAGTGAATCCTAATATCTTCAGCTGCACTTGGATTGGTCAGTAAGCAGCAGAAGGATGTATTTCTGTTACATATATTAGTGCTTGGCATCAGACTTTGTTTCCCTGAGGTTAAGAGGCTAAAAGTGTTCTGTGAATAAATCTCTGGGTTATAAATAGCTGTATGCATTTGGCTATTTTTGTAACTCTAAAGTTTTGGTGATCTTCTTTGATTTGCCTCTTTGCTTGTGACTCCCTGGAAAGGATGATCCTTTTCTCAGAAGTCTTATTTGTGTTCCAGTAAGGTGTTCTTGAATGTATGTACTCACATCATCTTGATGGACTCCATTGTACAGAATTTGCAAGCAGCTTTCATTTCTGAAGGTGAAGGTTGAGAGCAATGGTTGCAACTTGTGTATTTTAGATCCCAGTCCATGTTTGAAGTGGAATGTTTGTGCAGTTAAATGTTCTGTTGCTATGTTTTACTGCCAATGTATGTTTTTATTCTGGGTATAAATATTACAAAGGATAAAACATGAGCCTGAGTCACCAGAAAAAGAATTCGGAAACTTAGTTGGTTTAATTCAATGTTTGTACTATAATTTTTTCCTCTTGTGTTGTGTGGAATGTGACGTACAAATAAGTTGTCAGTAATTGTTGGGATCTCCATGGAGCATTTCAAATATTCTTGCAGTACTGGATTTCTCCCAAAGCAGATTGAACTCAACTTGTCCCAAAAAGCTGATCCCAGCTGTATCCATAGCTGCCGGGCATTGGTGTGAATTCTGGGACAAGTCAAAGTCCTGTAGGTTTTGAAATAGGAAGCAGTATTGGTGTATATTACAGGGGGACCTAGGTGTGTTAAAGAATTCCAGTCAATCTTGTTTGAGGCAGTTGACCAGGCAGTGAGGGGTGGAGTGCTCTTGGAGTTGAACAATGCTGTTCCTGTCACAGCTGGCAGGGGTCACTGGAAAGCAGTGGACTTAATTTCTTTCTTAATTTTCCAGAGTTAGATATACTGTCTTCCTTGCCTTTTCTATATATCTGTCTTTACTTGTTTCTAGTAGAAATACTGCCGAAGAATTTTTTTTGCTTTTCTCAGGACCCCTCTGAGTGAGAATGATGACAGTCAAAGACTGGAGTTTGGGTTTTCTTTTGTGAGGAAGTTCTTTTCATAATAAACAGTGTTGTTTACGGATTCATCATCAGACAGTTTATGTGGATTTTTAGTGAGACTTATTATGGGCACAAAGCTTGTACAATTGCTTTCTTTGTCTGACTTCTCCCATTTGAGTCACTTCTTACTCAGATGATAAACCCAAAGTTAATGGCACCTGAAAGACATTAACTACCTACACTGTGACAAATTTTTATAAAACTTTTGACAGGTAGTGACCCAAATTAATATTCCTGCCCAAAAAAAGGCAGTCATAATTGAGTCCCTCCCTTCTTCAAGAAGTGAGCAACTGTTGGGTAGTCTGTGTGCTAAGCTCTGAGCCACAAGCAGTAGCCTACTTCAGCTGGCCCAGCCAAACACTTGGGATGGTTTTTATGATGGGTGGGGGGCAGGAAAAATATTATGGGTGGGGTGTAACAGGACAATAGGGAGCTGTGGGACAATGGTGAAAGCAGGCAGACTTAATTGCTTCTGCCCACAGAGCAAGATAGGCCTGTTTTTTCTCTAATTTTATTTTTTTGTTTTATGAAGGAAACAAAACAAAACTCTTGGGGTACCTGTCAGAGGTACTGCTGCATCTGACTGTTCGAGGACAGTTGACCACCACTTAATCAAAGATGTGTGGTGGTGTGAAAAGCAACAGACTTTGAAAGCTTTAAATGTCATGTTTTCTGCCTTGAGTTTACTGTGCTGTTATTCATAAAGATCCTTCCTGATGGGTGCAGAGGAAATGGTTAACTATTTGAAGAAATTATATTGGAATTTTTAAGGAGAACCCGAAGAGCTTAATAAATTTCCATAGGGGAAAAAAGAGTTAATACTAATTAGAGCTATCATGTATTGCTGTGTAAGGTTTGGGCATGCTCTATATGTAATCATAGAATAACTTAGGAAAGGGTCATTGTAAGTCATCAGTCTGGTCCAGCCCCATCTCGGAGCAGCTTCAAAGTTAGAGCAAACACATATACATATAGAGAGATAGCCACTGTGTTGTCAGGAAATTTGGAAATACAGCTTGTGTTTGTAGTGGATTTTTTTTTTTTTTAGCTGAAGGGCAGGATATCAGGGAGTTTCTAGAACTGTTCTCTTATTTTTTAGTCTATGCATGTGAAGGAGATTTTTTTCCAAATCTGTTTCTGCTGGGAATACATATAATGCTCAGTATTTAATTCTTTGCCCATTTGAGGTGGTCTCGGTAGATGTTCTCCAAAGAGCCTAGATGACTTTCTGGAATGAGTCCAAGCATTGGACTCCTATTTGCAAATAATTTGTGGTTCTGTTCTTAAAAAAAATACAGCTGCAGAATGGGAGAAGAAATTAAAGCAATATCACATCAAACGTGAAATCGTGCAAGTCTTGCATTTTGGAAGTTGGCCAGCGCCAGATGCTTTTGGGGTTTAGGTGGTTGGCAGATGCTGGCTTGGCAGCTAAACACTCTTCGTGTTGATCTAAGGGACAGTTTGTTCTGTGTGTGGCTCATGCTTTCCTTGGTATTTGCTTCT